TTGTTTGTTTGTTTTTTATTTCTTTTTGGAATAGAAACGATAAAAGATACATTTTCTAATAAGTTATAAAGCAAGAAATCTGAGATAAATTTTTCTTACCAATTCATTAAAGTTTAATCAATTTTTAAGTTTATTTAATCCGATAATATGATACTCTAATAAATGGCATAAATTTTTTCTCAAAATTAATATTAAAGAGTTGAAAAGTTATTACAGTTAATATCAAGATGATATCGCAAAAAATTCAGATTTCTCATGGACAGCAAAAGATACGAAACGTGCAATCCTAACTGCAATGGTACCTGATGCTGTAGAACTTAGTAGTTGCGTACCGTGTTATAAATCAAACGATCCTATCGATTGGTGGAATGTAAAATTCCTTTCATTTTTTAAATCTGAAATTTTGAAAAAATTTATTAAAATTAATTTTAATTTAATAATCAACAGTGCATTTCTTATAATATTAAAAAAACTTTAAAAAATTTTCCCTACTTTTTTAAATAAAATTTGGATATAAAATTAAATCGTTCGATTAGAATAATTTAGCAAGTTATCTTGCAGTCTTGCAAAAAACCGGAATGGGCACCGAAATCGTTATATATTTATGCAAGCACGGATGCGTTAACTGTTACACCTGTCGGTTATGCAAGTTATGTTGTTTACAAATATGGTGGCGGTATGTTACTTGTTAGATTATTTTAATTTAATTTAAATCAGTTTTATTTCATTTGATTACAATTAAATTTCTTTCGATTTGAAAGATTGTTTTTCAATTTTCTTAAATTTTATTAAACTGTTATCATACAATATTATGATTGTAATTCATTTTAAATCCTTTTATTGAGTATATTTCAAAATAAATAAAATGAAAACGAAGTGAATTGAATTGGATTATATATGTGTAATTTAAAAAACTGCGAAAATCTCACTATAACTCAAGAACAGTGAAGGATATTTGCAGGTTTAAGCAATGCGCTAACAGCATTATCGCTTGGTTTATATGGTAGCAATTTAATGCTATGCTTTGCATCATTATCATTTATGAAAAAGAAAGATTTAAAAGCTGTGAGAAATTTATTGACTATTTAATAACATATATATTCTTCAAATAATATTTTTCCGAAATTTTTTAAAGAAGAACATTCGAAATTCCTTGTTTTAAAAAAAATTCAAAAAAGCGAAAGTTTCAAAACTTTGAGAATGAAAATTTTAAAAATTCAAATAAAAAAATTTTTCTAATAGAAACAGATTGATTGATTGATTGTTTTTCATTATCATTAGCTTATTTTAGATGTATTACTTTTCGATTGCCATTCATTTAACAGCAGCTGGATCAGCTGTTATTGCCTATAAGGTTTGTTTGTTTATTTTTTTATTTGCTTGTTTGTCTGTTTGTTTATTTTCACTTATTTTGCTATAAAATAAAAAGCAAGCTATTCAGTTAAATAATTTTTGTTTGAGCTTTTCACGACTATTATGTTAAAATACGCTATGAGTGATATTTGTTTTCTGCTTACACTGTGATTACCATCCTGTAGCATCAATGAACTGTTAAACTGTTATCTTTAAACAATTGATATTGAAATTTTATATTTTAAAATTAAAATTTCAAATTTTTTAGATTAATCATTGCGCCTGTTTACTGATGGTACCATATGTATTGTGGACTGGTTTTCATACCATTATATTGCATGCGATGAAAAATCTGAATTCGAAAATCGAAAATTAGTATTGAGAACTCTGTTTTCCATCGTATTGTGCTATTTATATTGCTATCTCTGTTGATTGATATTCGTACAAATTGTAGGTCGAAATCAAATCCTTCGCTCAATTTAAATCAGTAATTGTTCATTTTTTGAAATTTTTAATTAATTTCAATTGTATGTGCTACATATTTATACTGAAATAAAAATTTGCAACGAAACTTTGGGATCAAATTTGATTGGAAATTGAGCAGAATTAATCAAATATTAAAAATGCAGCTTTATTGTTTCATGGGCTATCTCATGTCTCACTATTTCGAGAACATTTTTTTTTCTTTTTCTTTTCAAAATAAATTTTGGAATAAAACGTCAGTTATAGAAATCGGTAAAGTTATTCTTCATTTTTTTGAATTAATTTTTGATCATGTGGGAATTTGCTTTCTTTAAAGTGCGATTTTTTAAGTATTGTATTTTTTTTTTTGTTTTTGCATATTCTTTTTTAAAGCTAAACGAAGTGAAATCTTTTTCTTCTACTGTAACTGGTCTTCTGAAAATGTATGCACATCACGGTATGTTCTCTCATTTTCCTTTTTTTCCTCTCCTTCTTCATACATTTGAAAAGGTTAAAGGTGAAAACTTCTTCGGGTTTATAGTAAGCTAGGCAAATGTCCATACTTCCTTCAATTTTTCCACATTTCCTCCGCCATTGACTCTTTAGTATATTGATTTTATTTATTTATTTTTATCCTTATTTCTTAGTTAAATTTTTTCTCAAATTCAATTAAACTTTCATTTTACTATTTAAAAGAGTGTTAGATCAATTGGCGAAAAACAATAACGATATAAAGTTTAGCTTAAAATTTGCATATCACATATGGCATGCAAAACGTCTAGGCTCGGAAATAATTTGGACAACAAATGATACAAAATATTCCATAATCTCTTCATTAGTACCATTTGCTAAATCATTAAACTTATTCTCATCTGTTTCAAATAATCAAAGCTGCGGAAAATAGGTGATAAGTTTGCTATTTTAAATTAACAAGTTCGAATTCTCCTTTTTTATTTATATCGACAAAATGAATTGAAAAATTTTCACCAAAGAAAGATGTTTTAATAGAAGAAGTTTGAAAAACGCAAAATTTGTAAACGTTTTATGCAAATTATTATCCGCTTGATAGAAGAGAAAAGGGACTGAAATTTAAGGCACTGCCACCAAAGGATCCTTCCATTTATAGATTGTTGGATGTTTTAACGATGTTATCATTTGGTTATGCTGCTTATCGTATCTATAAATATGTTGGAGATTGGTGGTACTTTTATATTTGTAAGAACTTATTTATTGCCTTTATAACTTATTTCATGAAATGAAACTTTTGACTTATGATTAAGTCGCAATTACCATAAAAAACTGCAAAGTCAGCTTCATCAGTAAATTTTAAATTTAACTCTATAATTATTGTTAACATACAGTTTTTTTTAAAATGTAAAACTATTCCACCAAAATGATAATTTTATAGTCGATGCATTAAGTTCAATTGAATAATTTTAGACGACTTTATTTTAATTATATTTATCATCCTATATTTTTTCTTGTAAGCATATATTTTACTTCTGCAGGCTTCATATATGATGATACAAAAATTGCATTGGAATTTGATGGGATCACCTTAGTATTCACATTATTTTCGCTTCCTTTTACAAAAGCAAAAAATTTCTCTGTAAAAGGAAAACTTCATTTTATTTTAGTATGCAAAGAAAAGTGTTAATCGAAATGTGTTAACCTGAAGCATTCGCTAATTTAAAATTTATTAAACGAAATTTAACTATTAGGAAAGCAAATAATCATATGGCTGATATCAATAATTGCATCATTTCAGCAATTTAATCATACTCTTTTGATACATTTGATAGCACTTGGAACAACTTATACTTTTCATAAAGTTTGTTTTTTTTAAAAAAATTACTTCAAAATAAAATTCATAAAATTTCACAATTCAATATGAATAACTAAAGCATAGAATGTATACGTGAAAATTTTTTGATTGAGTAGTTTTCGTTTCACAGACAAACACTGTGCAAATTTAGTTTTCGTGAAAGATTAGCAGTAATAAAATATGACAATTAGAATTGAAGATTTATTGATTATTGAGATTAAATAATCGTTTTTCTAAGTTAGATAGGACTTTGAAAGGAATTTGGTTGAGTCATAGCTCAAAAAAAAAAGCTGGCATAGTTATGATAACATATGCCATATATATTGCTTGCATATGCAATGAAATGAAACGATGAAATATGGATGATAAAGATTGTCATACTTCTGAAATGTTTTTCTCCTGTTGTTCCTTCCTCTCCTTTTGTTAAACAACTTTTAACGGATACTCAGATTTGATTTACAAAGAAAACAACTAAATATTCGGGAAATCCCGATAAAATGAATCAGGCGAATTATCAAACTCTTCTTTTAAGCATTGTGCATTTTGAATAAGAAATTAATCATCTCCAAAATTCTGATTTCCTCGTATTCCGGATATAAACACTGCTTTATCAAATTTTCATGCAATAAATTGATAACAATGAATTCTTACTCTTCTGCGAAACGTACCAGATGTAATAATGATGACGCAAAAAAAAAATACTATTAGAAATTATCCAGCGCTAATCTGAAGATTACATCATGTAAACGACTGACCGAATGAAGAAATCCCGGAACATGACAAGAACAAGCCAAACCGGATACAAAAATAATCTCCGAGTACTTTCCAGTGATTTCACAAAACTTCTGCCAGAGAAATATAATTTTCATCTCGACACTGTCGAAGTAATATTACCCAAACAAACATCACTGCAATCGAGAGGCTCTCAAAACCCTGCTACGGTACAGGGATATTGGGGTGGATGGTGTTGCGTTGAGGACTGATTGTTGGGGTGGCTAACTTCAGATGTTTTTACCATTCAAAAGAAATGCAGGCCTAATTCTTTCTTTATCTATCCGCTTTATCTTTGACTTCCTTTTGCTCATTAATGGTAGTACCATTTACATAATTGCAAGACATTATTCCTAGCATTAATATCTCAATTTCTTTACATTACTTCATCATTTTTCTCATTGTTTATCATACTTTTTGTTTGCTTCTAATCTTTCATGTTTTTAACTGTTAAATTTCTCAAAATCTCATGATGATTTGTAGTGATATTCTCTAATGTCGATTGGTTCATCGTTTTGATTTTCTGCTATTTTGTGTATTTGTGGATCTTCTGGTTATAATTAATGTAAATTCAGACGTGAAAATTGGAAGATATGCTCTCTAGGCGCAATTTTCACATACATATAAGCTTCCATTCATCGAAGTTAAAAGCAATACTTACAAACATCATATCCCCATTTTGGTAGGATCAATAATTTTCCAACTTTACGGGGAATTTATTGGTGAAAGAAATGAAGTGAAAGAAAAGGATAAGGAAAGTGAAAGAAATGAAAAGGAAAAGGATAAGGAATGAAAAGGGAGATGATTTATAAGGAAAATTTATAGGGAATTAAGAGAAGGTTGGAAGTTGGAGGGAATGGGAAAAAGTGTTAGCAAAAAACGGTAAAAGATGGAGGAGATAGCGTACGGGAAGGATAGAAAAGGATGGGATGAGACAGAAAACGGGAAGCAGGAAAAATTAAAAGAATATGGGAATCCTATCGTGGGATAATTGACGAAGTGGCAAGACATTTTTTAGATATGCCATTTTTTGGCGCTAGTCATGGGAAAATTTTCTTGTTTTCATGCGTAATTTCAGTGTTTATTGCTACAAATTTCAAGATATCCACTTCACTGTTATATTAAAAAAATTTTATGATGTGAATGTTTCTTTTTGAAAATTTTTCTTGCACAAGATGGATTGTATGTACGGAATTGATTAGTTTTAAATTGTTTGTTTACTTAACATCTTTCAGTGTTTTTTTTTCATCTTTACAAATGATTAGAACTTGCTTATTTTATTGAGATTGAAAATGAGACGTTTCGGGATGGAACCAATTTGGACATCGGAAGATACTAGGAATGCTGTCTTGGCTAGCCTGATACCTGGTACCACTGCTTTCGCGGCATTTGCTGTATTTGCAAACGATCGCAGTGTTGTAGATTGGTGGACAGTAAGTGTCGTTTTTGTTTTTTGTTTTTTCAATTTTTGTATTCAACAAATTTGTCATTTCTATCGGATATTTGACATTTTGGATGTTTTTCTCTTTCATTTTACTCTTTTTTTTAGTGAACTTGCATATTTTATGGTTGGATTTTGACTAAATTCACATATTGTTTCAGGGATTAGTTCTTCCAGTTCAAATTTAATAATTAGGTGTTGCAGCTGCTGTTTATTCCAGTACATTTTTGTTATTGCATTATTTTTCAGCATGCAAAGAAACCAGATTGGGCTCCAAAGGATCCAGTGGTATATTCTCTTTTCGATATTGCAACACTAAGCCCTTTGGGGTATGCATCTTATCTTGTTTACAAGAATGGAGGTGGTAAGTGTGTTGTACATTCTATTTTATTTCTTGTCCCATTACAATAAAACATATTTTTGTAGACCGACGTAAAAGATGATAAATGATTTAAAGCTCTATGTACGAAACATAAGGTCGAAACTTGAAATTATAAGATTTTAATGGTTTTAGTATTGCAGGTTTACAGTACACTGATACGAAGATGGCGCTTGGATTATATGGGTTAAATATGGTTTTTGCTCTCACAACAATTCCTTTAATCAAAAAGAGAAGTTTTACATCTGTAAGTAATTAATAAACCATTTTTTATTTTTTAAAGTGAAAGCTAGTTTTGGATTCAACTTTCCCACTTTAGCTAAATTTAATCTTTTATTTAGCTGTTCCGAAACACAATACTTTTGAATGCAACAGCAATTGGCGCAGCATTCGCGTTTTATAAGGTTTGATTTTTTTGTTTACTTTGTTAATTTATGCACTGAGATATTGATTAGCTGATAATCTATTGATTTACGACTGTACCAGTTTCTCTCTTTCTATAAAATTACGGAAGAAAATTAATAATTTAGAATAAAGCTGTAAATTTTTTAAATACTGAGTTTATCATTTGCTTTCTATTCGAAATGAAAGTAAAGCTATCAAAATATAAGACTTAGTACTGTTTGTTTATATATATCCACAGGAATGGACTGAAAATTGAGATGTTGCAACTTTACTTCTATACACGTTTACTTTCGGATAGTGTCGATTTGAATTGTCTGCTTTTAATTTTTTTTGTTCAAATTTCAGATCGACAAAACAGCTGGTCAACTTCTGCTTCCATATGCAATTTGGACTGGCTTTTATGCTCTTCTTACCTATTCGATGAGTAAGGAAAATGTGTCGGAGCACTAATTTTGTTTAAAAACAGGTAAAATTTTTAATGATTTGCAGTAATAAATTGGTAATAATTTGTATGCTAAAAAAAGACATACGTATTTTTCATTTCTTTGGTGCTCATAATATTTCGTTTCTTCAATTTTTAAAAGAATATAGTTAAAAGATTTCGAAAAACATTTGTGTTTTTCATTTCCCTCACTTTCTTGGTTTTTTTCAGTTTATCTTCTGATAATGTAGGTATTTGGCGAGCTTTCCGCGTCCTAATTACAAATTGGATCCTTTCTGAGTCATCCTATTCCTTTGATGGATGATTCTTGCCAAATTTAAAGGGTTTTTATTTATCCACTTAAATAAAACGTAGAAACATATGCACCATAGTTACTGAACACTATTCAGTTGTTAACGAGAATAATATTTCAGATCCGGTTTTTTTCATATTTCAAAAAAAATTTATGTTGTAGTAGTATGAGATCGATTCCGTTAATTTTTAAACGCGAAGTAATCATGTGAAATAATTATTCGAAAACTTGGAATAATCCGTGCTTCGGATGCACTGCAAACGACAGATAATGATATATCTCTTCTTACGGCGCTGAAATCTATCATCGTTGTTTATTAACTATTTTTACATTGTAACTTATACTGTTTGTTTTTTGTTGTCCAAAAGATGTTAGATACAATCATTGATTGGTAATTACTGATCAAAGTATCATTTGATGTATTATTTCGTATGCTATATATTTTCATATGGTATTTGTTAAAAAAGTTTGTGGTGTTAATTTCATTCTTTGAGAAAATGAATGGTTACATTCAGTGAATCTTTATTATCTTTACTTTTACTTTTCATTCATGATTTACTTTTTTGGATGGAGTTTGGAAGAGTCTAATGAGGAAGTCATGATTGGGATTTTAGTGAAAATGTTATATTTTAGCTAAAATCTTTCGTCTAACGGTTAAGGCATATTTATTATGGATAAAATTATAGCTCGAAATATTTTTTTTAATGAAATTTCGTAAAGAAGACATTACATTAGAAGGACTAAGTTCAAATTAAATTTCCGCAGAGATTATTCTGTGGTGCCATAGTAGTGTCATGAAACTTGTAGCATTTTTGTTGTGTTGGGGTTGAATGGTTTCGTCATTTAGTCAGCTATTTATAGAAGATTGATGTTGTTTAGATGGAGTCAATCCTAAGCAATTTATTTTTTCCAGATTCTAATACAGAAAGTGTTTATCTCGTGGATTGCCGGATTCAAGATGGGATTTGATGGCCCAAATGAGGGAGATGTTGTTTATAGAAAGGTATATTATCAAAGGATGGTTTTCGTTTAAGTTTTATCCTGCGTGGATATGAATTTTTATGCCAAGTAGAATTAATATAAGGAATCATCAATTTGAATCTAACTGGTTTCTTTTTTTACTAAAAAAAAATTTCATTAGTCAAAATCTGTCGCTGACCATTTTGGAAAATTTCATAAGCATGAAAGGAAAGTCATTTTCTCCGCCAAAATGTTCTTTTTTTTTGTAGGCAGATCTTGAAGATGCAGAGAATGAAGATGTTTGGGATGATAGTACGCTGATTAAAATGTACGATGAAATGATCAATCGAACTTATGTTAGTTCTCAGTTTTATTCTTTTTCTAAAATTTCATAATAGAAAAAAAAATATATTTGATTTTTTTCGAAAGACAAAAAAAATAACGTGCATATTATGAAACTTATTGCGTGATACGTGTGGTATGCTAACATGCATGTACGTTGAACATAGACTGAGAGGAGTGTATTTCATATAAACGCTTTGTGCTAATTATTTTGCAATTGCACCATCATAAAATTTTAAGTTATTATCATACAGTAGATTTTGTTCAAGAACCATAAGATCATGTTCGAATGCTGCTGATTTGCAGAGTTGTGAAGCAGCAAAGATGCAAATTTTCAGGATTCACTTGGTGCACAGTGTACTTTGGCAACAAAAAAAAAGAAGAAATCTCGCAAGGTTTCTAAAATAAAGGTTTTCATCTATTTCTGTTTCAGTTTTGATTATGAACACATAAAATATGGCTAGATTTATTTGATTTGGATTGCGTAAGCAAATTTCTATTTTCTTGGTTACACTGACAGTCGCGGGGATTGGGCTGAAAAGTAGCAGGGTAGAGGAAAAGAAAAAACATGAATTTTTTGTGCGTCTGCATTTTTCATATGTTGCAGCCTTGTGTCATGTAGTGGTTGGTTGAATTGATAATTTAAAGGATTATTGAAATTTTCATTTATACAAAAAAGGTTATTCCGGGAATTTATTTATACAAAAATAGTATATACTTATTGTTTTTAGTGGCATGTAGGCGATCATTGCATGGCACCTTATTATGGTGATCAGCTATGGTATCCAGCGGTTGTTAAAAGCCTTGATTTGGATGACGGCAAATGTGACGTGCTTTATGATGTTTATGATGAATTAGCACGCGTTAGTATTGCGGATCTCACAAAGTGAGTGAATTTTTTTGCATTGTTTAAATATGTGATCGAGAATGAGTGGTAAACTTCAAATCTAATATAAGAGCATTTAGACCTTAGGTGGTCCGAGAATATTTCAGTCAGAACTTCTTTTTTATTTTCTAATTAACGCTGCCATGTGATTAACGAAATGATTGCAGCCGAATCGTAAAATTTAAATAACTTGTCTTCTGTACTGCATATACGTTAAGAAGCCGGAAAATTGTTATCCCTATTTATTACTTATTACTAAACTTAGGAATAAGGTATACTGAAACGTTGTATTACTATGCAAAAGGTTTGCGACTGTTCCACTGGAATATAAAAATCATTAATAGAAAGGGATAGGAAACACGAACATGACGCTAATTATAAAACTTCAATGTTAGTGAAGCACATAATAATCATACATAATTGGTTCGAAATTTTCAAAAATAGAATTTTCGAGGCAGGAAGAAAAGGAGTTTCTGATATTAATTTTGCCGTTTCTTAAACAGTGTTAAATGGTGGTGCTAATGATCCTCATTTGCTTTCAAACTGCAATAAGCGCTTTTTTCGATGAAAGGAAATGTTGTTGTTGCTGTGCAAAGCCGTATTCACAGCCTTCTGGTGTAGTGCATATTTAGAACTTCATGGGTTTTAGAAGTTTTAGGCATCGAAGTTTTAGGCGTTGGAATGGCACAAAAGCACGCATATATTTGTTTCCTAATAATTGTTGAAGACTCGAAGTCAAATTTCCTTTTTCCTATTCCCAACAAAAAATGTTAGTTCGTGAAAGTTTTCAAGCGCTTTCCATACC